AAAGTAAAATTAAAATTTCTGATCATTTTAATTGCTGCAGCACTTCTATTCTCTGATGACTTTTTTTGGTATATAAGATAACAGGTTATATAAAAAAAATAATCTTCTTATTTTCTTAAATTTATATATTTTTACTTGATTGAAGTTTTAAACGTAAGATTTTCAATTAAAATTTTAAATTTTTAAGCAATTAAATCTATGGAAACTTCGCAGGTAAGCTTAAAACTATGGAATTCGAGTTTTACTTCAAATTTTCAAAAGATATCTTCTTTTTTTTTTTCACATATATATAAGGATACGTTTTGAGGACTACTAGCTGCAATCTAGTGCAGTTAGGATTGTGTAATAGATTTAGATAACTTAATTAATTAAGATTATCAATACTTAAGTACAGAACAGTTAGTGTATTTTTTTTTTTTTCATACTTTCACAATTTATTTTTTGATATTCTGTGGAGTTGCAAATAATTGATTGAGAAAAAATAGGGTTACCGATGAAAAGAGACATCTTTCACCCAAAACAAAAAAAAGGAAAATTGAAAAGAGATATCAAAATGTTGAAAAGGGCCAACGGCGGACGGTGATAGCGGGTTGTTTTAAGTCATAAAGATGTCCGGAAAAGAGTGATAGTACGGCAGCCGTTGGATTCCACTAAACCTGAAGATCAGACCAAAGATCCATCCGCAAAGATCACGGTTGCCGACAAACGTTGTGGCACCGTGGAAGAAGGCTTACATTACATGGGTCCAGTCCTGGACCTTCTTTTTCTTTGGAGTTCCCTGGTTTTTCTCGTTTCTTTTGTCCTTATCGAAAATGTCTAAAATTTAATGACGTGATGGTTCATTGAAATGGTTCAATTTTTTTTCATCATTTATTATTGGAAGAAAAATATTTTGCCGGCATCTTATCCTACGCGTAATTAGCGTTGTATAAGATCGGCAAGTTTCCGTTACTTATTTTCTCAGAAAAAAAAAAAATATATATATATATATATAAATAAAGATGGTATTGTAAAAATAATTTTTTTATCTCATTTTTTCATATAATTTTCATATATCATTAAATAAATGAATATATTTAATATCACAAATTTTACATAAATTAAAAAAATCAATCATTTTAATAACATATCAAATTATACAAAAAATAAGATAAAATAATTATACAAAAAATATTTT